TATTAAAGTAATGTTCATGCACTCATTAACCACACTGGTATCAGAATGCAATTTTTTTTCACAGCAAATTTCATTGTCAGCACAGTACATGCACTGTATACACACACAGCCTGATTTGCCCCAGCCTGCTGGGGGTTTTCTTGTGTGTTTGTTTTTTTTTTTTTTTTTTTTTTTTATGGAAGCCAGTAAACCAACAACAGCCTATTATTTGATGAAGCAGAGAGGCCTATTACTCATCCTAATTCTGTCAATAACCCATCACAGGTCCTTCATGGGCTCGTCCCCTTACTCCTTGTCATCCCATTTGCCATTTGCTTCAGATAATCAAACATAACACAGCCATGTGCCTTCCCTTGCATTAATATACCTCATTGCATTAGTGTGTATTACGTGACAGATGCAAACCATCTCAATCTGATCACCTCATTCCCCCATCTCTCATTCGCCTCTCTCAGAGGAGGGTCACAGAGTGCTCGCTTTCACTAAATCAATACAGAAATGGCGGTTAGTGGACTCTGAGCTCCCGGTCATGGTTGAGCGCATATACTAAGTCACTGGAGGAGTGCTGCCCGTTTTAGCCTTTAGGAGCTTTGGGCTCCTGAGAAACAATGGACTAATTGATAACCTAGAGCAGATCCCTGACACTGAGGCCTGGTTTGCTCGTATTCTACTGTTTCGAAGACAGGAAGAACGGCTATCTTCTATCTCCTCTGTCACATATCCCTCCCTCTGCCCCGGGCAGTGATGTGACCTTATTTATGATGCAAAATTACTCCCATCCTCTGTACCGAGCTGTTATCATATACGATGCACAGTCCTAGTGGTCATTCAGACCGTAAAGAACAAGAAGAACTCTGAAAAGTTGTAGCATCTCTATTTAACGGTTAACTAAGCTTGCAGACCCAATAAACTTTCAACCCAGTGCTTCCTGCCTTGACAGTTTCATGAACGGTGATGTCTTTTAAGCTTTCTAAGACATCAGTTTGTGCCAATCCTAGAGTGTTCTACAAAAAGCTCAGAAGAGCTACAAAGAGAAATTACATTTTATAACAAAGCTTGTATTGTATTCAGTCCTGTAATGTATAAATATAAAATAGTTCAACCTTAATAACTTTATCTAGTTAACTGTGAAATTTTGTAACTCAATTTATGTATGTGCAATGTAGTTTTGTGTGCGTTTATAGAAGTAGTCTAAAATAGCCTACAAAGTAGGTTCTATATTTAAATATGAACCTACTTTACAACCATTAAAAAAGGCTTGTGTTGTTTATAGTATTAATATGAATTGTGTGAATGCAATACAATCGTACCACCTTCACCATGATGTGATTATCACATGACCTTACTGCATGAGTTGTGTTGCTTCACTTCCATTCATAAATCCTCTCACATGGCCTCATGGGATAGTAAAGAGTTCAATGAATGCGCCCCTTTAGAATCTAGGTGGAAGTTGTCTGTGATTTGCCGGCTGCTAGCTCTCTGCAGCTCTTACATGGCCTGCTGAAGCCAAGCAGGTTTGCACCCGGTCAGTACCTGGATGGGAGACCACATGGGAAGCTAGGTTGAAAGTAGTGTTAGTGAAGCCAGCAGGGGGCACTCAACCTGCGGTCTATGTTGGTCCTAACACCCCAGTATAGTGAAAGAGACTATGCACTGCTCAGTGAGTGCCGTCTTTCGGATGAGAAGTTAAACCAAGGGCCTGACTCTCTGTGGTCAATAAAAATCCCAGGATGTCCTTTGAAAAGAGTGGGGGTATAAACAAATTGGCCCACTGGCCTCTGTCCATTCCCATATCACAATTAGCGACATCACTTGGGGTCTCCTCTCCACCAATCAGCTGGTGTGCGGTGTTCGGTCGGAAGCAATATGGCTGCCGTCACGTCATCCAGGTGGATGCTGCACACTGGTGGTGGATGAGGAGATTCCTCCCCAATGTGTAAAGCACTTCCAGTGTCCAGAAAAAGCGCTAAATAAATGTAAGGATTTTTAAAAATTATTAATATTATTATTATATAAACAAAACGTGTTCCTGGATCAACTTTTTAATTCAATTTAAGGGATATGTTTACATTAAGTTTAGGATCACAGTTAGTGATATGTGCTTCTAATTCAACTATTACAATAATGAGTATCCCAAATCATAGTACGCTCAAATGAGTTTTCTAAAAAGGTACTTTTTAGGTACTAATGTAATCTTGGGTATTAGTATGTGCTATTTGTGCTTTTGGCCACAAACCGCCCCAAGTATTTTGTATTTTTAGCATTAAGAAACAAGTTAAAGGGATATTAAAATTATTATTTAAATTAATTTACAATTTTTACTCTCTCATGCAGTTATAAATCTTTTATAGCATTGAACTCAAAATATCTAAAAAAAAATAAAAAAAGCTTGTTGAGGGAACCAATTGACTTCCATTATAGGAAGAAAAAAAAATACTACAGAATGCGTCTGTCATAATCACCAGCACTCTAGCAGTTGCAGATAAATGCACAATAAAAAGAATCTTCGACAACGTTGTCTTGCTCTAGATCCTACGTCTCACACAGGCCCGAATTGGCTAATTGGGAGGACCGGGAGAATTTCCGGTGGGCCTTTTTTTTTTTTTTTTTTTTTTTGCCGCGAGGGCCGGTGTCCCTAGCTGCTTGCACTCTCAGCAGTCGCACTTTTTTCATTAATTTATTTAACCATAGCATTACTCTTTTTATTCATTATTTTGCCGGAGCTCCGCTCTTTTTATTTATTTTCTCGCAGCCCCGGGAGCAAAATGCAGCCTGCAGGTTAATGATGAGGTAACTATCATTCAACCCCAAACAGCGGCACCATAGTGAATATAAGAATTTGAATAATTAATATTAATGAATATTACACCTGCTCAATGAAAATCTGATGTTTCTCTACATTAATAAATCTGACATAACTTGATCAGAAATCTAAAAAGGGGAAAAATAATTAAGCCATCAATAGAAAAAGTGTTAGAGTCTTGCAGATAGCAGTGCAATACTTATGTTTTATTCCAAAAGCCCCAAGTATATCAGCGCCACTGTGGTCCAGTGGTCAGCATGTTGTGTTATGGTGCCGTGGACCCGAGTTCGAACCTAACTTGAGTAAATTTTTTTTCCTATTTTTATTGTTAAGACATATAATACTGTTTGGGTTACTAATATAGGTGTACATATATTTTATTTTTAGTTTTTTTTGTGTGACCATCATTACAAAGGACTGGATATCTATAAAGAATTTAGCACAGAATATATATTCTGATATTGCACTAAGGCTTGAAACTCCAGGGCTGAAAAGGAGTCCCACTCTGGCCCTGGTCTCACAACCAAACACATGTGAAAAGAGACATGGAAACGACACAAGGTCATGTAGTATATGTTTTTTTATGAACTACATAATGAGAAAGAAGCCTTTAGTGCAGTAGAAAATGTACTTCTGCTCACCAGGCATTTTTGAAGGAAATAAGCATTTTTTTCCTCAAGTTTTTTACTTTTTCGACCTGGTTTGGTATTGCTCAGATGACATGTCAAACATCTTCTTTAATTCTTGGCTCCAAATAAAATAAAAGTGAGTACTTTTAACTTCTCCAACCTCCCACTGACCTGCAGATACCAAAACTAGATACAATGCTCTCTCATTGGCTGTAGATAATCACCAATGTTATTTTCAATCAGAACACATTTCACATGGCATGATTTTTGTCCAGATGCATACAGCTCATCTGCGATTTTCCTAGACACTGTGTGATTGTTACTCATGTAAATGAGACCTCAACCTGTCGGCGAGTCAAAATCGGGACTTAAATCATGCAGTCTGAACACAGCATAAGCTATAAATAAACTGTGTTTGTATCCTCAAGTCTGTTGTACCCCAACTTCATTGTTATAGGGTTAATGGTGCTAGATATCAGCACCTTATCACTTTTGCTTAGCAACACACTCTTGTCTGTATGTTTGCTTACCAAAGTTGCTTAGCAACAAGCTAATAGAAAGTACTGCAAACGTTGTCAAGTTTGAGGAGTGCTGCAGTCTTTGCTTGATGCATGATTTGCAGAGTTGCATCCTTTCAAGAGCATTCAGAATCAGAATTTAAAAAAATAACTTTATTCCCAGATATTTTCACACAAACAAGGAAATGTCATGGTTCGAAAGCTGCTGTACACAGCAGAAAGCAGGATTCGTTTATCAAACATTCCAGAATAGATAAAGTTCAGTGTGTAATGCGCCCACCAATTCCCGGGATGCGTGAAAAGATGTTTCTGCTACTCATTTCAGCAAGTATGCAGTATAGCGGTGAAAGTGCACTAGACCTGCCTTCCCTCCCACTCTGCCTACTCCTTCATTGCCTGTGTCGCCTACTCTCTGCCCTTCTCAGGGGCAGAATGGTGTGCTAGTAGGAGGAGGGTCATATGCACTTCCTGGTTTTGGCTCAACGCCTGGTCTATTTTAAGTTCAGAGGCCTGAGATTTTTCTTTGGTGAACCCGTACTGTACAAATCAGGGATGTCACAGAGAAAACAGCCCAAAGCAAAGGCCATGATGTTCACATAGCTCTGCGATGACGTAGAAAAACAGATACCAATCAAGTGGCTTTACTCTCAGGCTTGTAATAGTTTTGTACAATGCAGATACAATCTTCCCTCTTGTCCCAAACCAAGACGGGACATCTGTATTCAGTGAATACAATACTGTGCAAATCGACTTTTTTCCCCCTAGACTTCATTGATCACTGCGGGAAAATGCACAAAACGTGGCTTATGTTATTGGACCTCATAGATCTGAAAAAGCAGCATGTTGCTGAGAGTCGATAAATCAAATGATGAACCTCACGTTTTGGATGATCGTTGCTTCTGTGGCATCGTTAGTTTTGCCTAAGTGTTATTATGAGGTACTGTAGACTTACACAGCATCTTAAAATGTGAGCAAAACTGGTTATGCAAATTCCTGTTCGCTGTGCATGTCAAATTCCTAAAGGTCTGTTTTTCTTGTTCTCTCTTACAGATGAGCGATCATCCAGCATTTCCCGCTCCTTGACTAATGAGCTGAGCAGCTCTCTGGCTCCACTGATTGGTGAACGCAAAACGTCTGTGCCTGCCCACTCCAGTCAGCCAATGCTGTTCACCTTCGACATACCTGTACGCCATTCCCATGGTCCCCTGTCTAACAGCGCTCCGCAGGACTACCTCTTCCTCCATCAATGCATGAGCCGCAAGAGTGAGAGTGCACGGTAAGAGCTACGGTCTCAAAAAATGTGCTCAGATTACACCCCTTATAGCTTACAGACCTATTAAAATGGAAACGTTATTGTGTTCAATGTTGGAAGTAATTTGGTTTTATTTTTCTCAAATATACCCCCGGTTTCACAAACAAGGTTTAAGGCTAATCAAGATTAAATTGCATGTTTGAGCTGTCTCAACTCAAAATAACTTGTAGAGAGATGTCTTAAATATGTCAGTGTCATTTTTTTTGTCCCCAGGTGCACATCAGTAATATTTTTCTAAGGCCATTTTTATAAATTTGTCTTAAATAGCCTAATTTAACTAAGGCCTAGTCCTGGCTTAACCTAAGCCCTGTTTGTGAAACTGGGCCATACACTGTTAGATACATTTGCCTTCAGAACTACTTAATATTTTCTGGTTTATATTCAAACTAGGCACACGATCAGCCTACATTTTTGCAAAACCTGAAATACATTGCTCTGGGTATGTTCATTTTGCTTCGGCTTAGTCCCCTATTTATCAGGGGTCGCCACAGCATAATGAACCACCAACTATTCCAGCATATGTTTTACGCAGTGGATGCCCTTCCAGCCGCAATCAAGTACCGGGAAACACACACATTCATACACTTTGGCCAATTTAGTTAATCTAATTAACTTATCGCGCATGTCTTTGGACTGTGGGGGAAACCGTGCTCCAGGTATGCTTCTCCAAATCCTCAAGAGGGCACTGATGACATTTTTGCAAATTGGAAATATGTGACTTAGGGGCAGTGGTCCCCAACCTTTTTATCACTGTGGACTTGTTAACGATTGACAATTTTACCATGGAGCAGGAGGCTTTGGTTCGTAGGTTGCTAAGGGACTATCCATTTCTTTCTCAGAAGATGACAAGCTGACAAATTATTACCGTCACTCTGATACAAGATTTATTTATAGAGAAAATTACAAAGCACTGCAGTTTTTGGGTGCTCTGTGTTTGTCTGAGATAATTACTCTACTTAAATGTGTATATTGCATACAAGCTGAAGCTGATCGGTCAGTTCTTGTCACATGACTTGCGGTGCACTCCTGGCATTCATTCAACTGGGAGCGTCTGGAAGGCGCAAACGCGTAAGTCGCGCATTTCCATTGCAAATAACAAACTTGTGCAAACTCTGGAAAAGATGCAATATGCAAACTGCCCCTAAAAGGCTGCCGTCATTTGCAATCTGCAGGATTTTTGCACAGACATGTTGGATTCACCTGATTTGTTGACAAATCAGTTGGAAATCCATTCCTTGGCAGTTTGTAGGTCCTTCACTGCATCTTTTGCCCTTAGCAAAGAAACTTTCCAAAGGCGTCTGTTTCTTACTCATTTTGCATTGTGGTTTAAATTTGGGTGTTCAATTAATCAAGATGTAAAACAAGAGAATACAGTAATCTTTCAAAATAAAAGATTTTTTAAATCTTTTACATTTTTTTTTTAATCGTTCAGACTCAGATAATAAATAAAATGGAAATAACTAATGATTTTGTGTTCAGCCCAGTACCAATTTATCCAAGGACCGGTATTGGGCTGCAGCACGGTGGTTGAGGACCACTGACTTAGGGTACAATTTGTTGTGCATTTCACAAATTTTAAATTAATACAGAGGTCAGAATAAACATGTTAAGGTTTAAGTTTAGTATTTTTTTATAAATATAATCTTGATCTTAATCTTGATAATCTTAAATCTTTATATATATGTGTATATATATACACATACAGTTGAAGTCAGAATTATTCGCCCCCGTTTATTTTTTTTCCCAATTTCTGTTTAACGGTGAGCAGATTTTTTTCAACACATTTCTAAACATAATAATTTTAATAACTCATTTCTAATAACTGGATTATTTTATCTTTGCCATGATGACAGCAAATAATATTTGACTTGATATTTTTCAAGACAATTCTACACATCTTAAAGAAACGTTTAATTTAATTAGATTAACTAGGCAGTTTAGGTTACTTAGGCAAGTTATTGTATAATGATGTTTTGTTTTGTAGACTATCGACAAAAAACAGCTTAAAAGGGCTAATAATTTTGTCCTTAAAATGTTTTTGTTTTTTTTTAATTAAAAACTGCTTTCTTTCTAGCCGAAATAAAACAAATAAGACTTTCTCTAAAATAAAAAATATTATCAGACATACTGTGAAAATTTTCTTGCATTGTTAAACATTGTTTGGGAAATACTTAAAAAAAAAAAATCATCCAGCATGTCCGGGTGCACGCAGTAGAAAACATCTCACGGTGGGAGTTGTGCGTGCCTTTCAGTGCAATGTCAAGCGCCCCCAACTTTAGTGCATAGTGATTGGATATTTACTCGCGGGGAAGAGCTTCCTCATCTCAGCTCTTGGACTTACAGGCACACACAGTCAATTCAGGGAGATATAAAACGCACATAAATTATTTAAACGCACAACCGAGAAAACCGCAATTCACAAGCGCGTATTGAACCGTGGAGGTTGTAACGAACGGTTCAATATTATATTGAGAACCGTAGCATCCCTAATATATATATATATATATATATATATATATATATATATATATATACAGTTGAAGTCAGAATTATTAGCCCCCCTGAATTATTAGCGCCTCTGTTTATTTTTTTCCCCAATTTCTGTTCTGTTCTGGGAAGATTGTTTCAGCACATTTCTAAGCATAATAGTTTTAAAAACTTATTTCTAATAACTGATTTATTTTATCTTTTCCATGATGACAGTAAATAATATTTTACTAGATATTTTTCAAGACACTTCTATACAGCTTAAAGTGACATTAAAAGGCTTAACTAGGTTAATAAGGTGAACTAGGCAGGTTAGGGTAATTAGGCAAGTTATTGTATAACGATGGTTTGTTTTGTAGATTATCGAAAAAAAAAAATTAGCTTAAAGGGGCTAATAATTTTGTCCAAAAAATGTTTTTTAAAAAATTAATAACTGCTTTTATTCTAGCCAAAATAAAACAAATAAGACTTTCTCGAGAAGAAAAAATATTATCAGACACTGGGATACTGATACTGGGAAAATTTCATTGCACTGTTAAAAATCATTTGGGAAATATTTAAAAGAAAATAAAAATCAAAAGGGGGCTAATAATTCTGACTTCAACTGTATATGTCGTTTTGACATTTTAATTTCACACAATTTATTTAAAATGTTAATGCCCACAAACATCACTTTTGTTCATTTAGTTTGATGCAGATGCAAAAATATTACGTCTCATTTTTCACCCATACACACAGCCCCTATCCTGGTTTTAACTCTTGTCGTCTGTCACTGCGATATGAGATCATCTTACAGAGATATTAATGTTATTAGGTCATAAGCAAAAGCAATTTCAGCTTTAAACAAACACCTATGAGACCTTCTGACAAATTCAGCAGCGTGCGGTGACGTATTGTCATGTTTGCAGAAGGATTCACTTACAGGATGTGCTCATCAGTCATTTCACCCCGATTCTCTTCCTTTGATTATAATCCCAGTGAAATAATGCCAAGTGAAACAGAGTTGTGTTATAATGCCCCTCGCTTATCAAAACAAACATTTGATTTAGCCTCAAAACGGAGTCTCTTCACATAACCAGTTGGCTAAGACAGGAGGTTCCTACAAAAAGTAAATATATGGGTTTTTTTTCTTTATAAAGGGTGTACCAGCCATGCCAGTTTTACTGGGGGAATGTCCATGATATTCATGACTACCCAAAACATTGTCATAATAAACATTCTCCATCATGCTCTAACAGCCTGACGGCTCAATACAATCCAACAGAGGAAAAAAAACAACTAGGCACAGAACATCTGTTATAAGGGAGAAACAGAGAAACACTGCCTCCAATGGTTGAGTCGTCACATTACACATATGCTGTTTTGTTTTTACAGTGTGTGCACTAGAAGTGTTGTCATCTACATCTATTAAACATGTTTTTGCTGATTGATGTATAATGCAAACATCAGAAATTTAAAATGTTTTATAATGGTGTTTCAGACTGGTACACTGAGAAAAAAAATATTTAACTACTAATTTAAAATAAGCTGAAACAACACAATTCTTGAGATTTTTGAGGACAACTTAATTAAATAACAATCCGATGGAATTTTGTTTTCAAAGGAGTGCCAGTTTCTCGCAGGCCTCACGCAGCAGTCTTCTGGTGGGAAGTGACTCGGCGGTTCAGAGACTCACTCATGGTTTCTCCCACTGTTTAAATGGCATGGGTGCCCAGCTTCACGGCTTTTACAGCCTCCCCAAACCCGGCAAGCATCAGCAGCCCCCCTCGCGGACCGACTCACAGGAAGCCTGCTACGTTCTGCCCAGGAACTACAGCTCTGAAGGGGCATCTGAGCTTGATTCGGAAGACGTGTACACCTTTAAGACCCCCAATAACACTCTAGCGGCGCCCCAAACCAATGAGCAACGAGCTCTCGATAACTATGATTTACCAATTTACCAGATCCCCCGCACGTTTGACAAGAACCACAACGCCCTGATGCCGTCCAATGCTGACTCCACAAGCGTGCCTCCTCCAAGACCTCCAAAACCAAGCCAGGGCTCGGAGTCACGGTGGGGTGGCACGCTGCCCACGGGGGCTCAGAACGGAGAGGTGTCCACAGCGTCCGTCATACCCAGGAGAAACACCCTGCCAGCAGTGGAGAACATCAAACTTCATAGAGGTACTGCACAGCTCTTTTAGTCTGTTAATCTGTTATCTTCTCCTGTTTTGGTTGACTTTTTCATCTCATCTCGTCTTGTTCTCGTTGTTTGTTTTTTAGGCTGCATTTACACTGCAGATCTTGATGGTCAATTCCAATTTTGTGACTGTATTCGATTTTTTTGCTGACCTGCTTACATCATCTTTTAAAAGATCGTTCATCATCTTTTAAAAGATTCATCTGCATTTACACAGCACACAGCAAAAGGAAAAATATATATACATACGTTACATACGTGCTAGAGATCTGTAGAATGGATGGCAATATCAACACCCTAGTATCAATACATTTGTGCTGCCCATTACATTACAAACCACAGAAGGCAAATTCTTCAGTAGGATAGTGCTCTTTCTCATATTTCAGCCTCCACTATTACTCCAGGGTTGGCCAGCCCAGTCACCAGACATAACATTATTGAGCATGTCTGGGGTAACATTACTTTTCAAAGTTACTTTTGATACCAAACGGTCAACTAAAAGTTATTATTGGTTGTTCTTTAACCTTGGATAGGCGACAATACATTTGTAAGGTAGTGTATTGCATTTTTTGCTCCCACTTTTCCTTTCTATTATAATCTTATTTTATTCTCTTTTTTTTCTTTTAATTTCTGGTTTTCCTCTTCTCCTGTTGCTCGATTGTTCTGCTCATCTTATTTGTTCTTGTCTCATTTTGTCTGTTTGAGCCTCATCTTTTTATTTGTCTCCTCTTGTCTCAATCTCTCTTTTTGACTTGGGTCATCTTTTCTTCTAGCTTTTCTTTTTCTAGCCTTTCTTTTCCTGTGGTCTTTTTCTCTCCTTGGATCTTATTTGTTTTATTGGTTGCCTTCTCATTTTGTTTTCTCATATCTCCTATTTTCTCTTTTTGTATCCCATATTTGGTTTTAAAGGGGTGGTCCACAAATTTTTTTTAAGGTTTGATTTTGTTTATGGGGTGCAAATCAATGTGTGTTCGTGATTCATTTGTTAAAAATCACATTATTTGTTCACATATTCACCCATATTTTACACAGCTACTGAGCTAACATGGAAACGACCATCATATTTCCTGGTTCATCCTACTACAGGGCCCACCCTCAAAGGACTCTTGATTAGTCAGCTAACCTAATGTGTTGTAATTAGCAGATCAGCTTCACGTCACCAGGAAACGGCATGCCTCTCTGGCATGCGGTCTGTCTGAATGTTATGGCGAACCAAATACCACTTGCCATACCCCTTGGCAAGCAAATACCCCTTTGAATACTAGATGGATGCTCAAAACAAAGGTTTACATACTAAAACTGCTTGCCATAGACTGTAAATAATGTCTGTGAGACCGTATTAGTTTGAGCTTGAGTCAGATACAGAAAATGAAGAGGACAGCGCTAATCCCATGCAAATGCGACTCTTGCGAGATGTTTCTGAATGTTTTTTTTTTTTTCGTTGGTGGGAGGGGGTGGTGGCGGTGCCTCGGGGAGACTTGGGATGTCTATACATAATATACTACATTATTTCAAAAATGTAAAACTCATGGAATGTTGATGCACACAGATACATTGCCGTCGCTGGTAACAATCGTGGATGGGAGGAAAACAGATACATATGTTTGTAGCTAAGTCACTCACTGTTTTTCCAGAGTCTCTTGTATTTCATACACATCTTCTGCCACCCTCCCGTTATGTTATTTCTCCCGGAAAACTTTCGCAATTTCATACCCACGACAGGTTATCAATTTTGGTATAGCATCTGATGTGTGTGCAGTGAATGGGCATAACCTGGAACCTTTGTGATCTCATTAGCGCGGATGTATTTTTTTGAAGTCCCCAAATTCGCTTGCTGTAGGCTTTGCTAAGCTAGCTCTGTAAAAGCTAATGTCTCCCTTAGCATTAAAGTTTGAGGATCTTACATTCAGAGATGTTGTTTATGTCCACACAGCAACATTACACATCAACTGAAGCTTAAAATATGATATCATAGTGGACGACCCCTTTAATATTGTCAATTTTTCTCTCCTTCTCTTTGTCCTCTTTTTTTGGTCTTCTGTTTTAATTTGACGTCTTCTTGTATCAGTCACACCTTTTCTCTTATCTCTTCTCATTTAGTCTGTTTGTTTCAACCCTGTCTTGTTCTCTTTTGGCTCTATTTTAACGATTTAGCCACAAAGTATAGATTTTTGCAGTTTTAAGGACAGAAAAATATGCTCTGCACATGGTCTAACAGGATTGTGCCTATTCTTTTAATGAGTTATGGGTGTGTTTTGAGCATAACGTTCATTAAACCAATCAGAGTCTCATCTCCCATTCCCTTTAATGCCGAGTTAGAACTGCATGATTTTCAAAGTAGTCGTGTTACAGATGTTTTCACACTGCTTGAGCGTTTCGTCGCTGCTTTGTTTACACTGCAAGATGGATCGGCGACAGGGACTTTCACATTGCATGACTTTACTATAGGAAGAATCGCCGACAACTTCGTCCAAACTACGTCTCACAGCCAAAAACACATAGTATATCTTTTGTTATTAACTACATAATGAGAAAGAAGCCTTTAATGGGGTAGAAAATGTACATATTTGTTCAGCTGGATTTAAAGGGAATTAGCCATTTCTCCTCAACGTTGATAAAAACTAATTTCTTTCTGTATGAAACGTCAAACAGACACGGTTGCTACTAAGTCCTGTCAAACCTTCACTAGTTTTTCCTCCATTTCATGGGTCCAAATAAACCGAAAAAGAGCGCTTTTAACTTCTCCCCCAGCCTCCGCTGGCCTGCAGCAGGTATACACACATGCACACAAGTGAAAGCTGCTCTCTCATTGGCTGTAGGCGATCGCAATGTTATTTTCAGTCAAAACTCAATTCACACGGCATGATTTGAATCGCCGACAGCTCCAGATATTTAGCACGCCAAATATCTCAAAGCCATCGCCAACTCATCGGCGATTCTCTCAGATTGCGTCTTTGATAGTTCATACTGTGTGATTGTCACTCACGTGCACCAGCACCGATTTGATTTCAGGTATTTGTCGGCGATTTCTCAAAACCTGTCGGCGAGCCAAAATCGGGGCTAAAATCACGCAGTCTGAACTTGGCATAAGAGTAAGTTGCGTTCCGCCATGACGCATTTGCTATTTACATAAAGGACTTTGTAAGTGGAAAAACTGAACGCTTCACTATTGAGAAAAACAGTTAAACAGACCATCTGCAGCACGAGTATGAACATCTTGTTCACTTTAACCTCTTTACATCTCGTCTTGTCTCCTGTGTCATGCTCATTTTAATAGTTTAATTCTCTCAAATTTGTCTCCTTGTTTTTGGTCTTGCTTAATACATGTTTTTTTCCTCTCATGTTGTTTTTGTTTTTTGACAAACCTGCCATTTTAAAACAGAAAACCCAGAGTTTCGTTCATTCTCAGTTCATTTACCCTTTTCCCATTTTTATTTCTGTTCTCAGAAAAGATTTTAGAATTTTTATCATGTATTAACACAAAAAATCTTATTTAATTTATGTTTTATTTTGTTTGTTGATTTTTAAATTGTATATTTATTGTTGAAAGATTCCTGCCATGAAGATAGCCTTGGTTGCTGACATGGCACTAAATAAAAAAAATACATACATATTTCTGTTCTCATCTCTATTTCTCCACATTTTTAATCAAGTCTCTCCTTTAATCGGTTTCTTTAAATCCTGACTTCACATTTGGTCTTAAGCTCACCTGGTCTCACTTAGTTTCCTCTCATATCTTCTTTTTTATTTTGGTTTCACTTCTAATCTTGTCATCTCTCCTCTCACATTTGGTTTAATCTTGTCTATGTTGGTTTCATGTGTTCTTTTTTTGCAGATTGTGTCATTTCTCACACTTGTGTCACATTACCTCTATTTTTTCCATCACGTGTCATGTTACCTTTCATATCTTCTCATTCTTTCTCCTCCTTATTTATTCTCTTTTTATGTGCATCTTTCAGTTTACTATCATCACTGTCTTTCCTTTTGTTCCCATTTCCACCCATATTCTCTTGTCTCTCTCATCTTGTCTCTTTATCTCTAATTCTCCTTTATTAGTGTTATGTTTTTGCAGAGTTCTCTCAGACGTTTGTCACTCTTCTCCCATTCAACAAAAGCTAATCCCGACCCCTAGGCTCTCTTTCGTTCTCATTTTTTTTCTTCTAAATGTACACATCTGATTTGAAACTGAGAGGCAATCTGGTCAAGGTTTACTCTGCTCTGCTACGAGGCTAATGAAATTCAAGCCATGCAGGCAGACCCAGAATGGCTTGTTCCGGCCTGATAAGCTGCAAAGGGGGAAAAAAATGAGCAGACACAATTCAGTGATTTCCTAGTGGTTTGTGTTCAGCAAGGCCAGACTAGTGTGTCTACAGGAACAGGAAGTGACCTTTTGACCATCCTTGCCTGATTCCCACACCTGCGTTTGGTGGCCATGTTCTCAAATAAAGCAGAATTTATAAAGGAACAGAAGAGTGGTCTGATATCTGATGGCTTTTCTTAGATTACTTTGTACCTCAGGCTTATTACTTGGTGGATTTATTTCTACATTTTCTTGCTCCTCTGTTTTAGGATCCTCGTTTGAAACCAGCAGTCACCAGAGGCCAGTCTATTTTAACAACTCTGGTCAGTCGGTGGAGTCTGTATACGATGGATTCAGTTCTTACCTGGTAAAGCAGCTTTCTAGAACAATTGCATGACACATTTTCAAGGTCTATAAATGCTAACTTTTGAAAACGCTCTGTATTACATTCAGCATTTAGGCAAGGACTTGGAAAACAAAATACAAGACTGTTTGTGCAGACAAATCACCTTGCATGAATAGTACAGCCAATACAGTTATTTTAACAGATACTGTAGATGTAAACTGGGACAAAACCTCAAAAATGTGAAGACTCTTTGTTGTGTAAACACATTATTATAATTAATTAGAAGAAAATGGTGTCATTTGAATGATAACGCAACCTAATTTCACCAAGTAGGACATCTGGGTTGATCCTGGAACAACATTTCAATCAGCCAATTAGAATAAAGGCATATGTTTACCGTTTATGTTCAGGCTCATGGTTAGGTTTTTGCACTACTAAATGATTGTTATAACTATTATTCCCCTCTGACCTTAGGAGTAATTTACACCTATGGTTAGGTTAAGGGGTAGGGATTAGGTATGGATTGCATTTTCCAACAAACATGATGTTCCAGGATCAACATACTCACTGGCCACTTTATTAGGTTCACCTGTCCAACTGCTTGCTAACACACATTTCTAATCAGCCAATCACATTGCAGCAACACATTTAGTCATGTAGACATGGTCAAGATGATCTGCTGCAGTTCAATCCATGCATCAGATTGGGGAGGAAAGCTGATTTAAGTGACTTTGAATGTGCCATGTTTGTTGGTGCCAGACTGGCTGGTCTTAGTATTTCAGAAACTGCTGATCTACTGGGATTTTCATGCACAACGATTTCTAAGGTTTACAGAGAATGCTCGGGTCAAAGAGAAAATATCCAGTGAGCGGTAGTTCTGAGTGCGCAAATGCCTTGTTGATGCCAGCGGAGAATGGCCAGACTGGTTTGAGCTGGTAGAAAGGCAACAGTAACTCAAATAACCACTCGTTACAACCGAGGTATGCAGAAGAGCATTTCTGAATGCACAACAAGTCCTTAAGGCGGATGGGCTACAGCACCAGATGAACATGTCAGTTCACTATACTCAAATGGCTTCCACAGTCACCAGAACTCAATCCAATAGAGCGTTTTTGGGATGTGGTGGAACGGGAGATTCGCATCATGGATGTGCAGCTGACAAATCTGCAGCAACTGTGTAATGCTATCATGTCAATATGGAGCAAAATCTCTGATAAATATTTCCAGTAGCTTGTTGAATCTGTGCCACGAAGGATTAAGGCAGCTGTGAAGACAAAAGGAGTTCAACCCGGTACTAGTAAGGTGTACCTAATAAAGCAGTCGGTGAGTGTTAATCCAGAATCGCATCATACTTGGCAAAATTATAACATGCTGAATGATAACATCTGAACTTGTAAGAAATCAACTTTAGCAACATAAACCCAAGTGGGAATTTTTTGAAGTTGAATGTTAAAAGGTCAGAAGAAAAAGATCTAATAGTTTTACAAATATAATTGTAACAGAGCACATTTTTTTTACAGTAAGTGCATTGTGCAGTGTAATAAATTTAATTATATATGTATGATTCTTTCTTTTTTTACATTTCTGTAGACACCATAATTGGCACAAAAATATTTTGTTTATTATATTTTATTCACAATTAACTTTAAATATAAAGAATCACATCTATAGTGTGTAAGTACAGATCACCAGTAATTAAGTTCAGTGTCCTGTTAATTATAGCTCTAGTAAGTCATGAAGACACAAATGACACCATTTCCTGATAATGACCTCATATCTCACAAAGTCACAAACTGACAATAACAAGTCTATTCGAAGTACGCAGGAACAAATGGTGTGTGTCACAGTGGTTTCCACCACTGATCTGGAAACTGTGTAAGCTGGATTGTTCTTCTTTCTTTTACAGAGAACTAAAGCCCCATTGACCCGCTCTGATAGTGCCGGCTCTGATGATAACTATGTACCCATGAATCCCGGCTCGTCCTCCTCCCCTCTCAGTGCTGCCCTGGCTGACAGTCCCAAAAATAACTATATTCCCATGAGCCCAGGTCCTCACCATTTTGATTTCCCAGGTTTCTCGGCAACATTACCGGCCAGGAAGGGTAGTACAGCATCATTGTGTCTCCGACCGGGGCGTCTCAGCGACGTCACACCACCACCAATCAACCGCAACCTGAAACCAAGGACAGGTGAGCACTGGCAAAACTACTCGTGTTTGTCTTCTGTAACTTTAATAACGTTTGGTAAAATGCTAAAATGTGTATCTTTTAAAACATAAAAGATTGTTTAACTTTGTTTTGCAGCAAAACCAACACCTCTCGATTTGAGGAACAATGGCATCATTGATGAGCTTCCTTTCAAGAGTCCTATTACCATGTCTTGGACAAGGCCAATGTGAGTCTCTCTCACAATTTAGAAAAAAATAAAAATTTTAATACTTTTTAAAGCGCCATAATTTTAAGTCAAGCACCTTTGTCATTCATAACCAAGCATATGTTGTGCTTTGAAAGTTCTTGCTGTACTTAACATTTTACTAACACTTGAAGGGTGCTTTCACACCTAGACTTTTGTTTCGGAGTCTCGTTTGCCGAGTTAGTACGGTTCATTTGGCATATGTGAAACCACCAATCGCTCGGATCCGCCCCAAAACAATCGCTCCTAGATCGTTTGAATGAGGTGGTCTCGGCTCGACTGAAACGGACTCTAGAGCAGATCAATTTTAGTGAGAAAGCGATACGATCCGAGCCCGGTTATATCACAGTGTTTTATGCATATGTAATAGGCATACGGCTATGTGAAGAGATAATTATGAGTAGGGCGGGAGATCATTCAACAGACATCCCAAGTCTCCCGGAAGTTTCGAGAGTCGCGCCTCTCCCTCCCGGTCTTCAAATACGTCGCACACCCTACTCACCCCTCCTTACTGCATCCCTCTTCGCTCTTCAGACACGTCGCGCGCATCTTCTCAAACACCACCAAACCACCACCATCCCTCTGACAGCTCAGCTGAGCGAGACTCTGCAAAATAAACCATAAAACTCTGAGGAGAGTTTACTCACACGTGACTTGTTTTAGCTCTTTTGGTCCGTTTAGAAACTTTGCCATGTTAAAGCGAACCGCAACAAGAACAAAGACCAACAATGTAACAATTGTAATCCCCGTTTCGGAACAACTGAATCGATTCACAGGTGTGAAAGCACCCTTAGACTTCTTTGATCACACTATTCTCTGTCCGATTCACTGATTTTATTAATATCTTTAAGAGAATATAGAAAAAAGGTAGCAAAATCATTGCAGTAATTTGATTTGTAAAGATTAGAATAAAAGTTATATCAAAACTAAGAAATTATTAGTGGATGATTTATAATAAAGCCATTTAAATTAAGCTGGTGAATTTATTATTAATTTATTTTTTTACCTATCTGTCTTAAAAGGGGAAAAAAATGCGGAATTTTGTTCCCCTTGTTCCAACCACTTAATTCCAGACCTGACAAATGCACCTTCTGCTTTGTTTATATACAGTTAAAGTCAGAATTATTAGCCCCCTGTAATTTTTTTTTCTTTTTTAAATATTTCCAAAATTATGTTTGAGCAAGGAAATTGGTAATGTTTGTTTTCTTCTGGAGAAAGTCTTATTTGCTTTGTTTTGGCTAGAATAAAACCTGTTTTAATTAAAAACAACATGTTAAGGTCAAAATTTATAAACCCTTTAAACTATATATATATATTTTTTTTATCATATACAGATCAAACCATCATTATATAATAACTTGCCTAATTACCCTAGCCTGCCTAGTTAACCTCATTAACCTAGTTAAGCTTTTAAATGTCACTTAAAGGTGTATAGAAGTGTTTTAAAAAATATCTAGTGAAATATAAGTTACTTTTATCATGGCAAAGATAAAATAAATCAGTTATTAGAATTGAGTTATTAAAACTATTATGTTTAGAAATGTGCTGGAAAAAACTGGGGCAAAATAAACAGGGGGGCTAATAATTCTCAATTCAACTGTAAATCATCCAGCTGACACTTTAAATCCCATTTACAAGTTCCTGAGGTAAAAGTCTATTGGGTGAAATCATGGAAAGAGAGGTGATCTCTGATACAATTTGCTTCTCCAAGACTCTCTTATGTTTAGACAAAAAAATGCCAAAATATCTTAAATATTTGCCCACTTTATAATTTGGAAGTTCCCAATACTTTTTAAAAGCTGTTTTTTTTTTTTTTTTTTTTTTTCAAATCCCAATGGAAATATATTAATTTTATTATTTCCAATTTGACTGCTTCATGTTTTAAATAAAATTCATGTTGTGGTGTAACATTTGATGTTGTGTCCCAAAAGGGGAAAATTTTATATTCACACAAATTACCTTGTGATCTGTTAAGGGAGTAACTAGAACAGGGGTACTCAAACTCAATTTACCTGGGGGCCGCAGGAGGCAAAGTCTGGGTGAGGCTGGGCCGCATAAGGGATTTCACAAAAAAAAGTCCTCAAATGTCATTATTAACAGTTTTATTTCTTCTGAACATGAAGTGTCCTGAACATTAATAGAACATTGAGTGAAGATTATGAACAGTTCTTCTGAACATGGCATCTTTTGCCTACTCCTTGCTGCCAGAGACTTGACCGCGCTTCTTCTCACAAATCTGAACCACATTTGGCTTTAGAGCGGAAGCAGTTGAGACCCTCAGTATGGCTTGGGGGAACTCACTCAAAACTTCCATTCCCTCACCACCACTCACCACAGAGTGGATGCGCTCGTACTGAAGAGCGGTGTTATCGCGCGCGTACTGATCAGCTGTGTTGTCGCGCACGTACTGATCAGCTGTGTTGTCGCGCGCGTACTCAAGAGCGGTGTTGTCGCGCGCCTACTGAAGGGCGGGACCGAAGGTGTGCCGCGTCGCGGGGGCACTTTTGACCATTTTGGAAGGGCACTTTCTATCCAAGACTAAAAAGGGCATGTGCACTGCACAGGTTGAGCCCTATGTGTGCACGTGCCTGCCCTCACCTAAAAAAAAGGCGTATATATGTATAAATAAAACACTGTGGTGATACAGTTATACATAATTCACCATAGCTTACATAGGTCATCTTATTCTGTTCTTTCAGGAAGCATTTGTCGTCAGTATTTTCCTGACTTAATTGTATGGTCTTTGTAATCACAATGCTTTATGTTGCTCAGTGTTTAGCTGTAGATTTCCTTTACCCTTTAAGGACCTTAGTGTTGTGATAATCTTTTTTGCCTTTTAAGGACCTGTGTGTTTTGATGACGGGTTTTTGACGGAAGTTTCAGAAAGTTTGTTGTTGGCAATAAACGACACACGCATTTCGTGTGCTCAGCTAGAAAGTGCGTCTGCGACTATTTATTGACCCTTTCTACACTGGTGACCCCGACGCTTGTTTGCTGAACGTATTCAGTGCAACAACGATGACCGCGAACGCTGTCACGCTTAAACTCCCGGAGTTTTGGGAATCATCGGCGTCCGCTTGGTTCGCCCAAACCGAAGCTCAGTTCGCATTACGAGAAATCACCGCAGATGCCACGAAGTACTACTACGTTGTATCGGCATTAAACAGTTCAACGGCGTCCAGAGTGGTGAGCCTGCTAAAAAACCCTCCAGCAACGGGGAAATATGACTCTCTTAAGGCACATTTATTGAAAACTTTTGAACTTTCTGACGCTGAGAGAGCCAACAGGCTTTTCTCTCTCCAAGGACTGGGCGACAGCAAACCCTCCGAGCTTATGGACCGAATGATGGATCTCCTTGGTGAGCACAAACCGGATTTCCTTTTTGTCCAGCTGTTTCTGCGCCAGCTACCTGCCCACGTACGAGCAGCACTAGCCAACACAACGATAACTGATTGCCGGGAGCTAGCTGAAGAAGCTGATAAATTTTTTTTGGCAAGCCAACAACACTCTGTGTCTGCACTTTTCCCCGTGCACGATATTTCTACGCCACCAGAAACCCCCACAGTTTTCGCTGCAACTTCTCAACGACAGCTACCTCCTGGCCTGTGTTTCTACCACGCAAAATTCGGAGCCAAAGCTAAACGCTGCCGTTCTCCGTGCAGTTTCGGCAGAACGGGAAACGCCAAAGCCGGCGCTCATTAGTGGCCATGAGCGTCGGCCGTGCAGGCAGGCTACTTTTCGTTCACGATGCTTTATCTGGACGCCGTTTTCTGTGTGATACAGGGGCACAGAGGAGTGTCCTACCCGCATCCCACATGGACGTAATGGCTGACAGCCACGGCCCGCCTATGGAAGCAGCTAATGGCAGCCCCATCCGCACGTACGGCACAAGGTATGTGGAGTTGTGTTTTGGCGGACATCGTTTTGGCTGGGAGTTTGTTACAGCAAAGGTAGCTTTTCCCCTCATAGGCTCAGATTTTTTGTGTGCACATGGGCTGTTAGTGGACGTTAAGAACTGCCGTTTGATTGACGCCGTCACGTTTTGTTCATACACATGCACGTTTAGCGAGGACAATTCTATCAGACTGTCTAGTATGATTCCCACTGTTGATGATTTCCACATGTTGCTCACTGAATTCCCAGCTCTTACGCAGCCCACTTTTTCTGCACTAACTGCCAAGCATGGTGTGGAACACCATATAACCACTTCTGGTCCACCCGTTTATGCCCGCGCTCGTCGTCTCGACTCCATCAAGTTGGCTGTAGCCAAAGCAGAGTTCGAAAACATGGAACGCCTGGGCATAGTTCGCCGGTCAAACAGTCCTTGGGCTTCTCCGCTGCATATCGTGCCTAAACCTGGTGGCGGCTGGCGCCCATGTGGAGACTACCGACGGCTAAACGAGGCAACAACACCCGACCCCAGTTCCACATGTACAGGACTTTTCAGCACATTTGGCAGGAAAGGTCATATTCTCCAAGGTGGATTTGGTCCGGGGATATCACCAAGTGCCCGTGCGGCCAGCAGACATTCCCAAGACAGCAGTAATCACGCCATTTGGCTTATTTGAGTTTCTGCGCATGCCGTTTGGGCTCAAAAATGCAGCTCAAACGTTTCAACGGCTTATGGATTCTGTGTTGCGTGACCTGCCTTTTCTTTTCGTATATTTGGACGACATTCTTGTGGCAAGCACCTCCAAATCTGAGCATTTAATGCACCTCCGCACACTTTTTGAGCGGCTCAGTCAACATGGATTAATCGTAAATCCAACCAAATGTCAGTTTGGCTTGTCCATAATTGATTTCCTGGGGCATAGAGTCACTAAGGATGGGGCTGTCCCCCTACCATCAAAAGTCGAGGCCATTGCACAGTTCCCACGCCCACTCACAGTAAAGTCCTTGCAAGAGTTTCTTGGAATGGTGAACTTTTACCACCGTTTCATTCCCCGTGCCGCCCAACTCATGCAACCCTTGTATGAGACTTT